TCTTTTATGACTTATTTGTCCTTGTTCTTGCAATGCTTCCTTACAAAACTTAAGAAGGTTAGTGTCTGTTACCTGTCCGTTGGGGCGATTATGCCGGAAACCATTAACAGATAACAGATAATCAGACAGCCTAAGTACTACTAAACGAATACCTTTTACAGTCACCAGTACCACCATCGCTATTACCACCATCGTCAATACCACCATCGCCAATACCACCATCGCCAATACCACCATCGTCAGAACCACCATCGTCAGTACCATCATCGCCAGTGTCACCATCGTCAGTACCACCATCGCCAGTACCACCCTCGCCAAAATCACTATCAGTACCATCATCGCCAGTGCCACCATCACCATCGTCAATACCACCGTCGCTAGTACCACCATCGCTAGTACCACCATCCCTAGTACCAACATCGTCAGTACCACCATCACCACCACCAGTACCACATCGTCAGTACCACCACCAGTACCATCATCACCAGTACACTAACGCACTGCCTAGTACAAACTAGACCATCCTCTTCCTTCTCCCAGAAGCAATATCTTGTCATTTCCTCCAGCCAAGAGGCTCTCAGCGGGGTATCCTGGAACACTAATAAACCATAAATGCATCCTAACGAACCCGCCAACAACTCTCTAATGATCCCGGTAACGAGTCAGAAATACAACGAACCCACGCGGATTGTAAGAGTAAAAATTTGACCATTTATTTTTTTCTTTTATGGTTAATATCTATAAAAACAGGCTGGAAAATTTCTCGAGCAAACTTTGGAAAATGAGCAGGTCACTAGTTTGATCCTTAAATCTGGACGCTCAACTGTTGTGGAGTTCCAATCCTTCAGAAAGATTACTAAACTCTGCAAAGTGTCTCCGGGAGCGTTGGCAGGACATAGCAGGCACTTCATAACCTATCTCCCGACACACCAAAAACGAACATTAAATAAACTAACGACTTCTTTCTTAAAGAATAGTCACAATACTGTTGCTAGAATAGACAAATAACTTGACAATGGTCCAGGACCGACCGAAAGGTCTTTAGTGCGGGTTATTTATAGACTTCTTGCCTCTCTCATGGATTCATTTTAAGTTGAAATTAAGAGAAACATTCCTGGTTATCAAGATGTAAATTTTCCCCAAGATCTGTCCCAGCAGCAGACTCTACTTAACAACAATGGAGACACTATGGCGCTTCCAGCAGCAGACTCCAGTGATGGTATTCCTGCAGTTCATTCAAGCATAGGGTTTCCAGCTGTGATTCCAAAAACTTAACCACAAAAATGATTTCAGGATTCCAGCAAGGTGATTCCAGGCTTCCAGCAAACTTATTCCAGGCTTCCAGCATAGTTATTTCAGGATTTCAGTAAGGTTATTTCAGGATTTCAATAAGGTGCTTCCAGGATTCCAGCAAGATTTCTAGGATTCGAGCAAGATTCCAGAAAGATTACAGGATTCCAGAAAGGTGGTTCCAGAATGGGGCTTCCAGCCAAGTGTTCCTCTATCATCTTTGACGTGCTCCGTGGCAGAGAATGCTCCAATATAATGAGGGATCCAGATTGACTGTCTCCTTCAAACCTATCGACTTTATCTTTTTAATTGAACTAGATATAACCTTCCTTTACAACTCTTGTTAAATTTCTAATCAAAAGATGTCCTGGAGACGCGAGTTACGATGGTGTCGCAGGAGCAACCTTCCGTTTGCGTCACGGGATAGAAATGATGAGAGTCGTCACTATTTAACGTCGAAATAACTTGGCCCTGACGACAGCTAGAAGACTCCGCTCAGTTGAGAACGCCTGAGGCAATGTTCGACAAGACTCGGAACTTCCTTTTCTACCAAGTTGGCCGTGAATGCCCTTCAGCTAAGCTGATCTTGAATGCTCTTCCAGCCCAGCTGACCTAAAAATGTTCTTCCAGCCCAGGTGACCTAAAAATGTTCTTCCAGACCAGCTGACCTATAAATGTTCTTCCAGACCAGCTGACCTATAAATGTTCTTCCAGACCAGCTGACCTATAAATGTTCTTCCAGACCAGCTGATTTTAAAATGTTCTTCCAACCCAGATGACCAGGAAACATTATTCCAGCCAAGTTGAGTGTACTTAGATTTTCTTCCAGCCTAGCAGCTAACTTTAAATGTTCTTCCAACCCAGCTGACCTTCAGTGTTCTTTCAGCTGAGCTGACCTTAAACTTCCCACAGTCACATGGATCATAAACGATCTTTTAACCGAGCAGACCAGCAATTTTCTTCAACTGCTACACACACGTGATACGCTCGTCGCCCTAACAAGTCAACATGAGCTTTACAACCAACTGGTTTCAGAAATACACATCTTTCCATAATCAACCATGCAAACTGCATTATGTTTAAAATGCATTAATATCAAAGAGGTACTTGACACATTTTAAAGCACACGTGTTTAATTGCTTGACCATACTCTTCCTCTCTATCCTTTCCACACCATTTACTCTAATTTCCATCCATTCCACTACATAGCACTACCTCCCCTTCTCCCTCCCTCTGTCTATCCCATCCCAGCCCTCCTTTCCTTAATTCACTCACAGTTTCTTCCCACCTTAGCCTGTTCCTATTCATCATTTTCAAGTCTTCCTTCTTCGCTCCTCCGTGCCTTCCTTAGCTTTCTCCGTTGTACTCAATTCCCTTTACGGATCGATCCATTTTAACTTTTTCCTTAACCTTCCTACGTCCTCAGTCCTTCCTTGCCCCACAACTTCCTTACCTCCAACTCTCTCTCTCTTTCAAACCACCAATCCTCTTGCTCTATCACGAGAATACAGATGCAACGAACAATACAAGTCACGATAACGTAGAATAAATCACAAAATGTTAAGCAAATGGACCAAGTGCAGTTAATATAACATTTTATCAAGCCGTTACGTAATGGAGAGCGAAACGTTGCCACAATAAAATGTCACATTAGTTGCGCTTGTGTCCTTTTACTTAACATATTGTCGGTAATTCTACCAACATTAATACAAATCACAAAATATCAACACTTACGAAAATGAAGTTCAGACAGTGTTTCTGTCTGTCCTGTACCACTGTTAACTTACAAATGAAGAGGAAAAGCAAGGATTACCCTTACTCATCCCCCCCCCTTCCCTTCCCTTCCCTTCCGGACATCTCTACTTTTTCCTTCCTTAGTTATAACTTGGCACTAGTGCAGGAGTAACTTTTCCTAAATGTGGATAGTTCGTGAAGTGGAGAGTGACAGCTGTCTACCTGCTCACTCATATTTCCTTACTCTCACTCCGCCACATCTTTTGTTCTCTCCCCCTATCTCCTGCTCTTAGAACTTGCTTTTACCTAAGCTCCCATCTCGACCAGTTGCAAGTGATATCCAACACGCTGTCTCAGGTCACTGCGCTAATTAATGAACCAGACTTCGTCAAAGTTAGTCCACTAGGTTTTGAGGTTATGTGAAGCTTCACGAACAGGTACACATACAGGCACTCTTCAAAGTCGCAACTAAAACACACGCTTTCAACACTGTAAATCTCGAAATATATATAAATGTCGTGCCGAATAGGTAAAACTGGTCAATTAGCAAGAACTTATTTAAAATTAAGTCTTTTCTAAAACTTTCTCTTGTACGTTTAAAATTTTTTTTTTTCATTTATGTTAATGTAAAAATTAATAATTTTGTACCAAAAGAACCTTAGAAAACTTATCTAACCTTATTATAGCAATCTCAATTTAATTTAGCCTAATCCAACTAAATATATTTTGATAAGTTTACAATAATTTAATAACACAAACACAATGAAATATATTTTTCTCGTTAGGTTCAGAATGATTTTTGAGAAACTATTACATACACAAATTTTTGCTGGCGTTATTCGGCAAGAAGAGCGTTGCTATTTAAGCCAAAATCGCAAGTTTTACCTATACGGCAAGATATATATATATAACTGATCACAAATATTGTGATCAATTATACTGTTCACAAGTCAGTGAAGCCACATAAAATAATAGTAATGTCGACAGAATTATCACAATTATACTCGGTAAAGCCATTTATGCCGCACACTCAGGGCACTCATCTGAGAAGCTGTGAAATATGTTACGCAGCGTTGTAACCATCACTAAACAAAAAAAAAAAGGGGGGGGTAGAATGTATCTCTAATTCCTTGGATCAAGAGCCCTTCACTAGCGTGAAAGCATCCTAAAAATGCAGTACACCGCGATACTTTATAAAAACATTTCGCTCAGACAGCGGCTTTATCAAACAAATAATAAAACCCAATGTACACGAAATGTTGTCAATAAAATCTCGCACTTTACTGCATTTCTCTCTACAATATTAATAATAATAATAATAACAATAATAATTTGAGCATAATATAATGTACACGGATGAGTGACATTTAGGCGTGTATACAGAAAGCCCATAGCCTATCATGTCTGTATATTGTACATTCCTGTCAATCAAGGCATTGAAGAGTCAGGGTGACCGCAGGAAGGGCTGACAGACACGGTATCAGCCACAGGTTCTGCGCCTCCACCACCGAGGGAAGAACAAGAAATCACAATACTGTGGCTGGAACAAGTCGCTGAGATGTAATGATGTTGGCAGAGTTACCGACAAAATGTTAGGTAAAAAGGACACAAGTGCAACTAATGAGATATTTTGTGGCAACGTTTCGCTCTAAAGGAGCAGCTTTCTCAAGCAGTTACGTAACGGCCTGACAAAGCTCCTGGAGAGCGAAACGTTGACACGATAAAATGTCTCATTAGCTGCACGTGCTTTTTTTTCTCTTTTTTTTACATACAAGTCACCAGAAACTCCTACTCGGGAGAGGAATCTTATAACAACGTTTCGGTCCGATCTAGACCACTGTCAATAGTCTACGACGGACCGATACGTCGTCATAACGTTCCTGGGTACGGGTTTGAGAATGTACCACCATTAACTACACTAATAACACCAAGTTGTAAACTCTCACCACCAGGAGGATAATGGTGCAGTTACTTACATCTTTGGGAGTGCGGTAGTAGGCTCGGCGTCTCTTTAACTTCGTCTTCTTGGTTTTGTCAGATCTTTTGTTCCTGAAACGAGAGGAAAAAAAATAGTTAACTGCCTGCAACGACAGCAAAAACCATAGCAGCCTGCAACGAAAACAAAAGGCAGCTAATAGCCTGCAACGAAAGCAAAAAACAACAGCTAATAGCCTGCAACGAAAGTAAACATAAAATAGCCTGCAATAAGAGCAAAAACAACAGCTAATAGCCTGCAACGAAAGCAAAAAAAAAAACTAAGATAATAGCCTGCAACAAGAGAAAAAACAACAGTTAATAGCAACCTGCAACGAGAAGGAAAAACAAAAGCTAACAGCCTGGAACGAAAAGGAAATTAAATAAAAAACAATAACTACTGCAACAACTTTAATGACTATGACAACAACAGTAACTACTGCTATGTTGGTGTCAGATATAGCAACTATGGCCACAATGGCATAAAAACGACAACACTGACCTACAACGAGGACAGCGACAAACAAGACAACGAGGACAGCGACAAAGAAGACAGCGATAAACAAGACACCGAGGACAGCGACAAACAAGACAACGAGGACAGCGACAAAGAAGACAGCGATAAACAAGACAACGAGGGCAGCGACAAACTATGACGAAGACAAACAACTAAGAGGAGGAGGACAATAAGAGACACCTAGACAAGCAAAGAAGCAAACCACTACGAGGACAGAAACAATGACGAAAACAGCAACAAACAAGATCAGCAGTACGACAGAAACAGAAACAAAGACAGCATTACGACGAGAACAGCAACAAGGACACCAAAACAACGATAACAAGAAACCACTACGACAACAACAAACCAGTACGACAACGAGGACATGAACAAGGAAGAATAACAAGGACAGCAAAACAACGACAGTGAGGACATCAACAAGGACAGCAAAACAACGACAGTGAGGGCATCAACAAGGACAGCAAAACAACTACAACAAAGACCTGCGAGGAGGAGAGGTGGTCTTCGCCACTAACACCCCTGATAAAGCCGTCTCTTGCCGCCCAGATAACGTGTACCAGAGTTATCAAACTCACCACCGCTCCATCATCCAACGTTACCATACTGACGTGTACTGTCCACGTTCATTATTCAAGCAAGACATGTGCAATACTAGTGTCATTATTGAAGAACGTTTAGCTCACGGGAAATACATGAATCCACAGTAATGTTTTAGTGTTGAACACGTCTTATTTACACAACAGTATTTAATACCTTCTTTGAAGACATTAGGAGAGGGAGCGAGGGAGAGAGAGAGAGAGAGAAACTGCCTAGTCCCTTTAAATGATACCCCATATATATATTTACAAAAAAAAATTACGCGGGGAAAAAACTAGCCAAGGTAGAATGTCAGCGCAGACATTTTCATGAAGACTGAGTCGTGAAGACGCCTGAAAGATGCCCGCAATATTCAGCACAACGTTCATGTGGGTAGTCCAGCTGTGAGAAAGTGTACCGCAAACGACCTGCTGCCCTTGTAAGAGTTGGTGCCTTTGCAGAGGCAAGATTTTACCCCCGTTAAGCTCATGGGAAGACTTTTCCCACCAGTGAGTTCAGGGAAGACGTTACCTCCCGGATGAGATGTAAAGCCAGAGATATAACTTAAAAGTACGGTAGATATACAATATAAATTTTTTATATTTGGAACAAAGCACATCACACACACACACACACACACACACACACACACACACACACACACACACACACACACTTAGTGTCTAATCGACATGTGCCTAGGACAAAATGGTAACTAACACACAGCGAAGAGGCGGGGGCCAGGTGCTGTAAATCGACCGCTACAACCACAAGTAGGTGAGTACACACACACAAACCACCTGAAACCCTTGACCTAGAAGACTAATGATGACGTACGACACAACTTTAATAGAAATTAACATACTAAAATAATATGCTGATAGGGAGGGAAGGATATATTTGCTTAGTCTCCGGGTCGTTGAGAGGTGGAATGGCTTGCATGAGGCAGCAGCACACTCGTTAAAAATTTTTAAAAGCGGATACGGCAAGGTCCAAGAGGCCAGAAATCAATGATGAGGAAAGAAACTTAGGAGACGAGGCCAGGAGCCAAGTCTCAACCCCCGAAACACAAATTATGTTTGAAATATCCTTGTTGGCAGATGTAAAACTAATGACAATAATAATCGACGAGAACAAGGAGAGGTTACAAAAAGACACAAACTGCAACATTAAGCAAACAAGTGACTAAAGTTCAACCCCTAACTAATGCAAGGTCATGAAAATTGGGAAGCAGGCAAGAAGACCGGAAACTGAGTATACTCTGGCGACATAGACTGCAAGCCTCGCTTAAGGAGAAAAACCTACGAGTAAACATCGTCAGACACACAAATTAACTGAAAATTCTCTACAGCGAATGTTCTTTGGCAAATCTAAGAGCAGCCTCCAGGAATCTCAAAAAGTTGTTAACGTCCTTAAATACAACATAATATTTTAGCACCACCATGGAGTATGCAGCACTAGCATGGAGCTCTCGCGTGAGAAACCATGTTAAAAGACTGGAGAAAGTGCAAAGGTATGTAACGAAACTAATCCCAGAGTTAGGAGAATAAATTACACAGAAAGCCTAAAGGAACTGACCCTAATGACATCAAAAGCTTGGAGAACCAGGGGAGACATGATAATGGCTTGTGAATTACTCATAGGACTTGACAGAGTAGGCATAGATAAACTATGCGACAGGTGAGAACCTGGTACTAAACGAGGACACAGCTGGAAATTAAACACACAGATGAGCAACATAGATAAGGTGTTTCTTCAGTCTGCAGGGGATGAAGGAGAGGTTACAAAGTGGAATGACCTTCACGACGAAGTAATGGAGGCAAGTTGCACGCATTTTTAAGAACAGTTATGACAAGACTCACAAGGGTACAAGGACGTTAAACCATCCAAGAGCCGAAACTCGACCCCTGCAACTAAAAATATGTGAGCTAACACACACACACACACTCACTCACACACACAATGTATGCGGATGTTGTTATAAGGTGCAAGGACACGAGGGGAGGAGAGTGAGGAGAATAGGGAAGTGGGGGGAACTAAAGTGAAGGGAATGTGAGAAGAAACGGGATGGAATGAAAGGAGATAGGAGTGGAAGAGAAGATGAGAGGAGGGATGTAAAAGAAATGACGGGAGAGATTACAATGAGAGAGAAACAAGGGAAGACGACTCTAGGGAAGGGAAGATGAGGGTAGAATAGGGAAAGGTGAGAGTGGAAGAGGGAAGGGAGAGAAAGATATGGCGAGAAACGGGAAGGGGAAGGAAAATGCAACGAGGGATGGAAAAAGGAATGGGAAATGAGATGAAGAGAAGCGAGATGAGACGAGAAAATCCTTGTCCAGCAGAAAGGAAGAGACTGTTGCCTGCAAATCAAAGCGCGCTGAATACAGAGCAGGCTCAATAAACATGTAAATTGGTAAATCCAGTAAAGTGTGTAAAACCAGACAGCCAAATGAACAGATGACCAGACAAGACAATGTCCCTCGTTGTTTTACCCAGCTTTTAATGGAGGATAAAATCGCTTGATTCCTTTTCCCAAGGTTGACCTTCTGCATAACTCGATAAAAACCTGCGCTCGAAAACCCAAAGACATTCATAATAATGGTTTTAATTAGGCAACTTATTGAGGCTAAGAAAATAGGGGTTATTACTGAGAGTACGAGTCATCTTTTCGGTTAGAACGACTCATCTTCTCTATTAGTACAAATCGTCCATTAACTCCAGAGATAAGTTTTTGAGGTGGTCAGTCCCTCAGCCTGGAGAAGTGTTCAGCTCCAAAGTCTGAACAATTATTTCAGACTATAGATGACCACCGAGAAATGTAGTCGACTACTGGGAAATGTAGTCGACTACTGGGAAATGTAGTCGACTACTGGGAAATGTAGTTTACCACCGAAAAATGCCTTTAACCATAATTTTTTTTGTTGCAGCCTCATAGGCTATCCAATCTTTCGTTATCACAATCCTATACTCTATTTTTTGTGGTCAAGTCCATTAACAATTATTTGAGTTTTAAATATCCCCAATCGTCCAAATTCTCCACCCTATAGTGTGAGGAAAATTTTGAACATTATGAACTGGAAGAGTTTTTATTCGCAATTTTGAACACCGCATTATTCACAACTTTATCTGCCAGTAATGCTGTTCCACACTCCTTAATGTCATTTGTAAAGTGTATATATTAATACCTTTATTAATGTATTATTTTTACTTAAAATATATATGGATATTACAACGGACAGGCTGATAGTTTTATGTACACAAAAAAAAAAGGGCCAAACTCATACGCAGCGTTTTGTTAAAATACTTATGCAAAATTAAAAGATTATTTTCACCTCTACACTTTGTGTTCAATATCCATAAGCATTAGCATCGGACTGTCAATTAATGGACCGCGGTTCCAAACCCTCGTCCACCCTTGTTTATTCAGTGACAGTTGTTTATTACGACTTAAAGTCTATCAGGGAGCAAGCATAACTAACACCATTCTAAAGTAGGCTTAAGTGTTTCCTCTGAGAAGTTTCATGACACCCCCTTCCTTTCTGCCGGTCTCTCCACCAGCAGACAAAAGCACCATACATGAGTTCTCTCCCCAAAACTTAAGCAGGCCTCTGTACACTAGGGCCTTACAGGTAAACATGAGAGCACCAAAAAGTCAATTAAATAGACAAGTCATTATAGAACACTAACATAACTAACAAGAACATTACAGTGTCAATATTTCCCCCCCCCCTAATATTCTACATCAATTTTTAAACTGCATCGCTGAGCTACTGTGACAACGAAGTTCTTCTTCGCCCCCCTCCGTGTCTCTGACCACTGACTCAACTTATCCAGCTTCCCCTGATTATTTCTATAGCAGACCAAGACTGCAACGTTTTCCAATTTTCGAGTTAGCCACCTATTTTTATTTTAGCGTAAGCCTCGTTGTTAGATTTATGTATATTGTGAAAAGAAAAAACAACACACGAAAAACTCAACTTGTTATGCTGAGATAGAGAGAGAGAAAGAATAAGCTAATGACAATCGTGGATGGTAAAAAAGTAATCAGAAATAAATTGGTGGTGCAATTTAAATTTACAGACTTGACAAAATATGCAAATGTAATACTGCAACTGCAGGAGGAGGAGGGGAGTAAACTGAAAGAGGTGGGGGAGAAACAGGTGGGAGTGGGGGGAATGATGGGGGTGGAATACAGGGACGAAAGACGTGGAGGTAAAAGAAAGGATAGAATGGGGGGTAGGTGAGGAGATAAGTTGACAGTTAACTATTTCCTCAGCTATGTCGAAATGCCGTTCTGAGATCTTGGTAGAACCTCCCATCCTCGGGCAAATCTTACCGGTTTAAACTCATGATGCATATACCAGAACATATATGATTAGTTACTTTGAGCTGAGAGCAACAGTTTTTTTTTTTTTTTAAGAAAGCCGGGAAAATCAAGAGAAATGAATTTGGGGTTTAACGTACATTGATGGAGCAACATTCTTAAGGGAACTTCCGAAGTGGGTTACTTTGAATGTTCTCATTTATCACTAAAGTTTGTACTCCTTTTTCTCCTGGCTTAATTTGAATAACCCCCTTATAGTGGGGAGAGAGGGGGTACAGCAAATGGGGAAAGTAGGGTGGCCTTTGAAAAGAGAAGGGTGGGTGGTGTGAAGAAAAGGCCAGGAAGCTTGAGGCAGGGAAAAATGGGGAGACTTAGGCAAGGAATAATAGGGAGGTAGGAAGACAATGGAAAAATAGGGCCGTGATACTGATAAAATGTGAAATAGGGAGGCATTAAATGAGGCCGACAAAAAGAAATGGGAATGCAGGAAATAACTGGTTTGATAGAAAAACAGACACAGAATATGGAATGGAACAAATTGGGGTAAGGGTCACAATGGCATAACAATGGGACATGACTCCCAGTCTCGCGACTACTCACGCTGGCTTGGAGGTGGTGGTGGTGTTGTCGTTGTGGCTATGTCCGTTCTCGGCGGGGGGATCGTGGTGGAGGACGTGGTCGTCTTCATAATCTGACAGCTGGTTGATGTGTGGCAGAGAGAAGGCGTTGGACACCACCGGCTGTGTAGCCACACCTGCAATTGCAACGCCAGTGTGACTTCCAGTGGCCAGACCATCTCTTCCCACCCCTTTAACTTAAAAACATACCAGACCATCTCTACTCACCCCTTTAACTTAAAAACATACCAGTCTCTCAGGATGACCAATAAGACATGTATAAGACTTGGATGTCTTTATTACCAAAACGTTTCGCCTGCGCAACATGCTTTTCAGTCCAAACGTTTCGACAATAAAGATGCCCAAGGGCTGTAAATGTGTATTATTATTCATCAACTTATCGGTATTATATACCATTAACATTATGAAAGTCAATTATAGACAAAGTTTCATATTTTTACAAACGTACATGTAAATTTTCACAATGATCTTGAGGGCACACATATATGGCACATAAACCTAAAATACCCAATAAAGTTTAATAAAGTGACTTATTTCCACTGGGATTAAGTGAAACTTATACTATAAAACCTTATTAGATCAGAGAAGGTGATCAGACTATGATGAATGAAAAAGGACACACGATATTGACGTAAAACTGGGACTGGACAGCAACATGAAATTTTTCAATAGTAAACGAAGCCTTAAGGAAAAATTCAATGCTATCATCCCTACCATCTCTGGTGAGAGTGCACAAATAAACGGATAAAACGAAATAAAATTGACCTTTTGAGTATTAAACTCAACCAGAGATCAATTAATACGAAAGATTTGAACAAACAGACCTGAAAGTGCATCGCTTAATGACACTGGATAAACAAAGTACACCGATAAATAAAACGGGTAAAGACTCAACACACTTGGAATAAAAATGAAGAACACAGGAATAGCAAAAAGAATTCTGGCAACCATTAAGTTTCCTTGTATATGTAACAGTAAATGTGTCAAACCAGGAATCATGTGAAATCCCTGGAAATAAAGAACGTGTTGTCCGTTCTCAAATATTCTTCATTCCTTTCCCTCTTCGAGGATCCCGAGAATAACAGTTTTTTTTTTTTTTTTTTTTTTTTTTTTTTTTAAGAAAAATCAGGAGATAGTTGATTAGCACCTCATTTAAAATAAAATCCTTTCTAAAGTTTCCTCTTATACATTTAAAGATATATTTTTTCATTTACGTTCATTTATGTTAATGATTTTGTACCAAAAGAACCTTAGGAAACTTACCTACCCTTATTATAACAAGCGGAATTTAATTTAGTCTAATCCAACTAAATATATTTTATACAAGTTTACAATAATATATATATATATATATATATATATATATATATATATATATATATATATATATATATATATATATATATATATATATATATATTATGCGCAATAAGATCAAAGTCAACAGGTGATATAATATGCAGAACAACCACTCTGAAAAAGTGAGCTTCAAAGCACTTTCGCGATTTCTCACATTATCAAGAAAATGAAAATAATATTTTAAGTTAGTCCAAACATGATGTTAAGGTTTATTCTGTTCATGAGTGCCAGGGAACACCTCCAGTAGGCTAGACTATCAATAAAAATTACAAAACTGAGAGACTGAACGAGCCATATGCAATTAAACCATGTCAACAAAACTGCTAGCAAGTGCCAACACTACCATAACCTAACTTTTCAAAGAGTTGGGAGCTAGAATCAATACGGTAGGTTACCAAAGTAAGTTCGAAGTTCTTATTACATGCAGCCTAGCATCAATTTTATGCAGCCAGGCATCAACTGCTTTTATACTGCTATAAAATATTGAATTACGATGCGTAATTATGTCAAGGCCAGTAATACATTACAGTTAATAGAATCTTAATTAAACTGCTGAAGGCTAGGAAAATTACTCTATTTTTTGTAATGTTGGAAATGTGAGTAGATGGGTGGTGGTGTTTTGCTCGTATTAATGACCCTCGTGCAGTAATCTTAATAGTATGACAATAAGATACTATCTCCTTTTTAGAATAATAGTAAGATGATATCTCCTTTATATCCTAATATCTCGTTTACATTATAATAATAAGGTAAAAGGACCCCAATGGAAGTAAGTCACTCTGACTTTTCTGGGTTATCCTAGGTTCTCTACACATATGTTGCTATGTATGACAATCTATGTAACTAAGTTACATAGATTATCATACTACAAGTTTTTATTTGTGTGTACCTGTATAAACTTATTACAGTCTTCTAATAAGGAATATGGAGAAATTATCTCCATCTCACCTGGTAATGCAACGGCTCTTCCACGTTTGTTCAACACGTGCAACAAACTCATGACATCACTTGGGAAGTCTCTAAGACCACCAGTAGTCTTTATTTTTAAGGAAAATCCCAGAAGGATCATAATGACCTAGCAAGTAGCTACGCATCCGCTAGCCTACCCTAGCTATGTTTTCATTCAATTTAAAAAACCAAAAGGACCTCTAAAAGTGCTAAATATTGATAACGATGTATGGCATGAAACATCTGAAGTGGCAAACTGTTTCAATTCATACTACACAAGTGTTTCATCTTCATTAGTCAGTAAACTGCCAGACGCAGCAATTAACACAAATGATTTTGAAAACCGCTGCAATAATAAAGGTGTCTCCTCAAGTAATTTTCAACGACCATACGTACATTATGAATTTATATGAAAAGAATCAAGCTGAAATTAATCAAAAGCACTGGACCTGGTACCATTCCAGTTATATACCAAAAAAGATTTTGCCTTTAATGAAAATACCCATAGCACACAAAATAAATTTATCCATCACTTTCAATGCCGTGTTGAATAATCTATTTTCACGAAAAATCGTAGCTTTAGTGTTAGTAACTGTAGGTTCCTAGGGGCAGTTGGTCCCAAAGATGAGGGGGTACTTGTACCTCCTCCCATGGAAGACTTACGTCTCGAGACACTCCCCAGATAGGGAGCCAAGGCCGGGTCACCACTACTTGGAAAAGACCCGGGCCGGGAGAGTACCGGCGAATAATAAAAAAAAAAAACTGTAGGTTTGCTTGCTTAGCGTTATGTCTCAAATGTGAGAGGAAGCAGATAATCGTCAAGTAGTTCAGTATCTTATTGACAGTAACATACCCACATGATTTCCTAGGCATCTTACGTATTTCGTCTTATATAGGAACTTACATCTTAGTTAGAAAATAATATTATAAGTAATAAAAAAATGTAAAAAACTTCTGGTATAGCAGTGTCATAAAGGTAACTCGATTACATCTTACAATAATGTATCATAAACTGTGAACACACCAGTTACACTGGATGGTGAACAACCTTTTATGCTCCATCTTTCAAGATAGATTTTCTAGTAACGCGATGAAATCTATAGGCCTAACCTGGGAGACTTCAGCAAGGCGATGAGAACATCGTAAAGTATTCAGCGTTATACTGTATAGTTAAGTTACCCAAGCAAGTAAAAGGACTTTAAAGTTTCAAAGAAAACGAAAACTTTTTTCAGGGGACGCGAGTCTAAACGACGCATACGTTGTTTTCAGCTGTCCAGAGCAAAGATTTTGTTCGGAATACGGAGAGAATTAGTACCCCAGGATGACTCAATAAAGTCCGTGCGTCATCAGGGACTGTGGTCCTAAAATCCTCTCCTCCAGGAGCCTTTTTAAAGTTTACGTAAATAGCTCTTACTTTATTAACAAAGTATATTCTTTTATCGTAACTGATTTCCACACAGTTGAGTTACTCAGCTGTTTTAACTTTTCTAACAACCACGATTGATTCCTACTGCTACTTATTGCTAGGCTTAAAATAAGATTTTACAAGGAACGCAAAGGGAAATAAGTATCTTCGACTTTTTGGGATGGTTATCCTACGTAATTTACACTATATATAATAACTGTACTTACGTGTATCAGTACCTAAATAAACTTACTGCTAAGTGAACAAGGGGATCGCTCCCCAGCACTCACGGTCTCTCAGCGTGAACGTAGGACGCGTATGATAATATAAATATGGGAGCAGGTGCGTGACTTGTCAAGGTTCCCTTAGTTAACGAAGCTGCGTCTATACGCCAGCCCATCCAATTACTCTTCTCGATAAGCTGTGCTTAACCTGACTGATATACGCAAGTTTTTATTAAGCTTTTCCTCACGCTTAACACAGACGTTTCAATTTTTATGTTTTATTAGTAATTAATAGGTAAATTAACATAACTAACCAATAAAGTCAAATAATTACTAATTTTCATTGGGGGTCTTGTGGTACATGAATATTTTCAGTTATAACTAAAAATAAAAATTATACAATAAAAGTACGATACAAAAATCGTCACATATATGTATTAATGTTGGTAGAACTACCAACAATATGTTAAGCAAAACAACACAAATGCAAATAATGCGACATTTTACCGTGGCAACGTTTCGCTCTCCAGTAGTTTTGTGGCATTAGTTACACTTGTGTCCTTTTAGTTTACATATATGCACTGGTTACATTTCCACTACTTTTATTAACAAAAGCAATGCACAAAATACATCAATTACAAGGACAAGCTAAGATAATAATCCATATAAAAAAATATAAAACCGTACACAACCTTCAGGTCTGCCAAGGCTCTAGTAGGGTTTACTCAACTAGAAAAACCAGTACTACCCAACTAGATGTGCAATTTACTATCAAAATTCACAATGAACAAATTAAAAATGTGGAAAAACAAAATCAGCCACCTCAATCATATATACTAGAAAAAATTCCCACAGACTGAAGAAACACACTGATGCCCGGCTGTCTGAACTACTGAAGTAACAAGAGGATCAAATTTAACATCAGCAAGTTAATGATATCATTAACAACCCAGAGTTTCCAATAACCAGTACACAACATTCTTCCACTTAAAACACACTCAAAACTATTAAAGAAACTGTCGTTATAGTCTTGTCAAATATGTAAAGAATATTAGAGCTAGAAACTCTTCAATTTAAAACAAATTATGCCAGTCAAATACATACATACACACACATATTATATATATATATATATATATATATATATATATATATATATATATATATATACATAACAACC